TCAAACGCTGGTGGGATGTGGAGGAAGAGGCTGGTGGGAATGCAAAATGTCAGTTTCAAAGACAGTTTGACAGTTTCTTACAAAACTAAACACACACACTGTTACCATATAATCCAGCAATTGCTCTCCTTGGTATTTACCCGAATGAGTTGAAAACTGAAGTCTACACAGAAATCTGCACCTGGATGTTTGTAGCAGCTTTATTCATAATTGCTAAAACTTGGAAGAAACCAAGATGTCCTTCAGTAGGAGAATAGATAAATAAACTGTGGCCCGTCCGAACAATGGATGATTATTTTTCAGCACTAAAAAGAAATGAGCTATTAAGCCATGAAAAGGCATGAAGGAAGCTTAAGCGAAGAAAAGGCAGCATACTGTATGATCCCAATGACATGACACTCCGGAGAAGGCAAAACCATGGAGATAGTGAAAAGATCAGTGGTTTCCAGGGGTTAGGAGGGAGGCAGGGATGAATTGGTGGAGCACAGAGGTGTTTTAGGGCAGTGAAGCTATTCTATATGATACTGTAATGGTGGGTACATGTCATTATACATTTGTTCAATCCCACAGAATGTACACCACCAGGAGTGAACCCTAATGCAAACTCGAGACTTTGGGTGGTGATGGTGTGTCGATGTGTTCATTGATTATAACAAATGCACCACTTCGGTGGACGATGTTGATAGCGAAGAAGGCTGTGCATGTGTGGGGGCAGGGTGTAATCAGAAATCTCTGTACTTTGTTCTCAGTTTTGCTCTGAGTCTAAAACTGCTCTAAAAAACAGAGTCTGTTAAAAAGAAAACAAAACAAACAAGCAAAAACAAAACAAAACAAAACAAAACATCCCGGCTATGGAGTATGGAGTGGAATAGAGAGGAAAGAGGTAAGAGATCAGGGAGAAGCCTCCAGAGGTGGCGGCAGGAATCTAGCAGGGCTGGGGCCTGAGATCCGCAGGGGCAATGCTACGGGAGAAGGGATCCAGGAGCATCTGTAGGATCTAGCCATTCCTTGGATGGTGGGAGTGCCGGGTGAGGAAGAGGAGGGAGACGAGTAGCATGCTGAAGCTTCAGGCTTAACTAGCCATGTGGGGCCATGATGTGCGGTGAACTCCTGCTGGTAGTCGGGGCAGTGCTCATGGGCCACTTCTCTGTTTGTACCAGGAGATGGAAAGACAGGGTTGGAGGGAAGGAAGAGACTTTTGTAACCAAGACAAGAGAAGTAACACTTTGTATTTAAGAAACAATCTGTTGATTTATCATGTTTCTGTTTTGTGTATCGTTTCTGAGAGATAATGCAAATGAGAAACAATATACAGAAAACTTAGCCTGAACCGACTTTATTGAAGACCAAGGCTTGTTGGGGAGGGAAGGCCTACCCTAAATCTGGAAGTGACACTCACTCATGCTGATAAGGGGCAGAGCATGAGCAAATTGAGAAAGAGTAGAGGAGAGACAACCACGCATGCCAAGCAAACAACTCCTCCCCCTGCGGAATCAGTGTATTCAGTAGTCACTGGCTCCTCTGCAACAAACATCAGTAATATCTGTTACTTGTGCTCTCTGCTCCCTGCTTTCGGCAACAGCACACCCCTTGCAACCCATCAGCCTGGTATGGCTGCTGGTTCCCCCCTCCTCCCCAACTCGTTCTCCATCCATCCTCTACCCAGCTCAAGAGGCTGACCCTATGGACCACATCACTGGGTTCCCTGACTTGCCAGCTCCTGCTTGGGCTCTGCAGGATCTGGAGGGTAAGAGGAGAGAGAGGATGGGGAATTTCTTCTCCGCTTCCTCCCTGCTCTGCAGACCCCCTTCCTCTAGGCCCTGCGGGTCTGGGCATGACCGTGGCTTTCCTCCATTGCTTGTCCTGGGAGCTGGAATGTTCTGTGGTGCTTCCCTTAACCCTATTCACATGGCTGTGAATAGCCCCTTCATTAAAATCCCTTTGAGTGAATCATCTGAGAGGGAATTAGTGGTTCTGTAGGAGCTCAGAGATCAACAGAGGGTGTCAGTGACGACCGTGGACGGGAAAGGGGTGCAGAGCTTCTCTCCGCCATTGTGAAGAGCAGGGGAAAGTGGCAGATCCTACAGGGAGCTGCCCTCACCTGCTGGTTACAACATTATCCATACTCACAGACCAAACTCAAGGGGCAGAGTTAGTTGTCACCTCCTGCCTCCGATGTATCAGGCAGGCAGTGCTGGCGAAGGCTCGAGGTGAGCATGGGCCCCTCCGTGCAGCATTGTGGGTGATCGCTCTGTCGGAGTGGAGCGGAGATGGCGGGGGAAGTAGAATGTGGGGCGGGAAGAACGGAAGGCAGAGAGACAGGTGGAGGGGCGAGGAGGCTGCGATAACTTGGGTGAGCAGTGACGTAGACCTAACCTACAGGAGTGGCAGATGGAGGCAGTGCATTTGAGAACTAGTCAGGAGACGGACTCAGAGTCTTGACGCTTAGTCTTATGTTGAGCTTGAGGGTGAGGGATGATGGTCTGTGCTCCGGCTTGGGTTCCTGGGTAGATGGAGATGCTGGTTTGAGAGATGGGCAGCACCGGATAACCCACTGCTTTCTGCTAGAAACATATTAACACGTAGGGCCGGGGACATTTCGTAGAGGTGGAGTCATACTCTATGTAGTTCTTTGTGAGTGGCTTCTTTCACTTCGTGTAATGTTTTCAAGGTTCATTCATGTTATGGCTTGTATCAGTACTTCATTCCTTTTTATGGTCAAACGATATTCCACGGTATGGACATACCACATTTATCTACCTATTGACCCATCGATGGACATTTGGATCATTTCTACTTTTTGGCTATGATGAATAATGCTGTTAGGAACATCTGTGTTCATGCTTTTGTGTGGGCATATCTTTTCTCTTAGATATATACAATTATTGGGTTAGATGGTAACTATGTTTAACATTTTGAGGCACTGCCGGCCTGTTTTTACAAAATGGGTCTTTAGTAACAATCTTTTTTTGTTTTGTTTTGTTTTAAAGTCTATTTTGTTTGATAATAGTATAGCAACTTCAGCTTTCTTATGTTTTCCCTTGCCTTTAAAAAAAGACGATTTTATCATAAATGTATACAGCCATAACTAATACATTATTGGTTCTAAACGTTTTGAACTTTATAAAAATGGTGCCACACTATAAATATCATCTTCTTGGACTTACTCTTTTCACTCAACAAATTATTTCTACGATTCGCCTATGTCGTTGTGTGTAGATATAATTCACTTATGTTCACTGCCGTATACTTCATGGTGTGACCCTACCATAATTTATTTCTCCATCTTCCTGTTAATGGATATTTGGCATGGTTCCAGTGTTTCGCTACTACAAATATAGTGCTGCTATGAACATTCTCAAACACATCTCCTGATATAAGAGTTTCTCTGTTCTCAAAGTGACCAGCAGTATCGGCATTGGCTGGGAACTTATTAGAAATGCAAATTATGGAGCCCCGCCCCCAGACCTGCTGAGTTAGAAACTCTGGGGGTGGGGCCCAGGAATCTGTGTTTTCACAAGCCTTCCAGGTGATTCCGATGACTGATAAAGTTTGAGGACCACTGCTCTATGGTATAAATGAAGAGTGAAATTTCTGGATTGCAGGCAACCAATTGTTTTCCAAAATGGTTGTTCTGTGTTACACCCATCAGCAGTGTATACACGTTCCCATGAATACACACCCTCTCAGCAGTTAGAGTTGTCAGATTTCTTTCTTTTTTTTTCCTTATCCCAAGTTGCATATTATAAGATAATTTACAAATATCTTGCTGTTTTTAGTCATTTAAACAATGGATCAGTAATTTCTGTCCACCAGGACAGCAGTAAGCTAAAAACAAAATTAGCTTGCTGAATTTTCCTTCTTTACCTCTCGTCTGAGGATGAAACTTGATTTTTGTTAATCCAGATCTGCAGCACTGGAGATGATTTCAATGAACTCCTGATGATGACAGCTTGGCAAGTGAGCTGGAAAGTTAAAGTCAATTTATCAATCATCTCAGAAGCATTCTTGCTAACATTGTCCATGGCTACCATCCTGGTGCTTTGCTCACTTGTGGTGAATTCCTTTAGAGAATAGTAGATGATGTCGACCAGATTGTATTCGTGGTAATTCTACAGCACGTCAGCCTCAATATTATCGTAGATACTCATGCTCTCAGCACTTGCAATGGTATTAAAGGAAAAGATGGGCTTTTCTTCTGTCTTGTAGGAGGTGACAGACCTGAATCGATTAAAGATGCTAGGTCCTTCATCAAATTCACATCAAATTCACATCCAGAATTTAATAATTCCAGGGCAATCATTGATGCATCTCCAAAAAATAGTTTTTTTTTTCTGTTTGTCATCAGAAACTGGTTAGAAGGATTCCTATGAAGTGTACCCCTAATTTTATCACGAACTCCAGCAATCTTTTATTTTAACTCCTTTTCTGGCTGCTGTGAGCATAGCCGACTCACTTTCTGTCTGTTTAGCAAGTGAGGAACGGACAGCACTGCAAAGCGCTCGATCTCAGGACACGCCGATAAGGGGGTGTTTCTTCTTGTCTTCAGGCACCTTAATATCAGCTTTTCCATACACAGCCAAAGATCTCATTCCATACACCCAAGCTGCTTTCAGCTCCCTCTCAGCTCAGGCATATTTTGTTGCTGCTACCGTTTTCATAGACTTGGTAATCTTCTGGATGTTTTTGATTGACTTCAGTCACCTGGTGATATTTTTCAAAGTTGCCATATTTCGAACTTGGATCCATTGTGGCTGCGTGGCCCAGGCTGAGACCCGATGACGCTCAGCCAAGAAAACATGACAGCACTTGTCAGATTTCTTTATTTTGCCCATCAAGTGGGTCTGTCTGACTGGTCTCTACAGAGAACATGGACATGGCTGTTTCTCCTCCCTCAGTCAGGCTGCATCCTGTCTCAGAACCATAGCCCCACCACGCGCAGTGGCAGCTTGGCTGTCACTGGATAAAAGCCCCTCTTCTGTGTGGGTTTGTTTTGACAGGAGTACATGCACCACCTGCTCCGCCTGGAGCACCGCGCCGAGGAGCAGTTTCTGGAGCACTGGCTGAACCCTCACTGCAAGCCCCACTGTGACAGGAACGTGGTCCATCCCGTGTAAGGGGCTTGGGACCAGCTCCGGTATGTTTCTTCTCCCAGGCCTTCTGTTTTAGGGAGGCAGCAGTGGCCAGCATGTGCACGGGCTCAGAGGCCTTCAGGAACATGGCGTTAGGGGAACCAGCTGCTTAGCTG